TACAAGGAAATGGGTATGAATTATTCGACCCAGAAATTGCTTCTCATGAACTTTTTGATGGTAGTGCATTCTGGGTTTGTTTGGCAGCCCTCGGCCATGTGGCAGCGTTCGGCCATGAACAATTTTTTATTTTTCCGACCACGAAAAAAAAAAAAAAATACTAGTGGCAGCGCTCGGCCGGGTAGTATTTAATTTTGATTTGATTCATTTATCTTTGGTTTCATTTTATTTCTATTTTACATTTTACTTTCACTTGCTTTTATTTTAAAAAGAAAAATGAGAAATAAATCGAAATTAAAAAAAAAGAAAATAACAAAAATTATTCCTACAGATTTGAATATTTTTAATGGCAGTTCTCGGCCACCATACAGGTGCACACTGATGGCGGACTAGCCTACATACCATATATGGAAGTAGCGCGAGAGACCCAACTCAGTCACACAGCGACTTCTCTGTCTAGCGACTCACGGAGCGGGAAGAGAGGGAATGCGTTGGAGGCGGGAGTGAATAATCCAGTTTGTTTATTATAGAGAGTCGCTCCAGAAGTCACACATGAAGGGCATGTGCACCCGGGATTTGAAATAGATGTAATAGTTATGAGACTTTACATTCGTAACAAAGTGAAATACGACCCATCGAATGCTGGAAAGCCATTGATATTTGTTGAATTCCCAGATCCGCGTGCGTTTACCGTTGGCCAAGTGAAAGAGGTAAGCGCGACGAAGTATCCTTCAGGTCGTTTCCATCCAAGCACGAGCTCAAAACAGCTGATTCGAAGTTTGCAAAACTTAATTCATCGTTGGATCGTTGTGCAAAATGCTTTGTTACGTTTAGAACCGAAGGATAAGAGTTTTTAATGGGCAAAAAGTGCTCAAGCCCATCTGAGGGAGCTCGCCACCCGAATCAATTTGTTGCCTTAAGTTAAGGCAATCTGTCGGATAACGGCGACTATCGGTAAACCCGACTTTCTATTCAACTGCCTAGCAATATGTCCGAAGGCCGATCGTGGGATGGTCTACTTCAACAAGAGTTGGGTTACCGGTGTAGGTTGCTGATGTAAAATTATGCGGTAATATGTTTCCACGACCTGTAATTTAATTTTGTACTGACAGCGATGGGTTGTCCTCTCTCTGGAAAGGTAAATTCTGTCAATATATTACACGGTTATGCATTGATCAATATTTGGAGCAGATTAGACTGCCCTGATCGATATCACCAGGCTCACACNTTGTGCGGTTAGGCAAGATTGTTTAGGTGAAGCTGTGACAATGGTGTTGATGGCAAATTATACTCTGAATAATGAGAACCCTCATTAATTTTACTTGAAGGGTCTAGCTGTGTAGAGGCAACTATACTATTGATACAGCAACTGGTTTGAATGTGGGAGTGACATTAATTTTTGTGGTCTGATCATCGAATTGAAAGTAGTCCAGAGAAATACTGCTGTCAGTGGAGGTGACAGACATTTCGACAGTCTTAGTGTAAGTTGTCATCAGTCACTGTGAGGAGTTGTTGTTAATCAAATGTCAAATATCTGTTTTTTGTAAACTTAGTGGTTTGTTAATCTACAGTGTCATCAGCTGTGAGAGGAAAGTATTGTTACATTATTATCGTTTGGAATGGTAATCTTTGCTCTTCTCCTTAATGTGTATTGTAGAAAGAAAAATTATTTTTCAGAGGTTAGAAATACCTGTTGAGAAGATACTCTTTCACAGTTTTTGTTTCCTATTCTCAGGAATTCAAAAAGAAAGCCAGAGCAGCCAGAATAGACTCTTTGTACCTTTGTCAAGATGATGGTTCTTATGAGGTTTTAGCGGATGATAGGTAAGGTGTCCCAATATCAATTTCAGGAAATAAACGTGGATTAAATAGACTTGAAAGCTTGTGGCTCTTTTTATTTGAGTGGTTCTGCTCTAAGTGCAAGGGTTTTTTTATTAAGGGTTAGGCACCATGTAAATAGACTGGTTGCAAAGAGAGTTTTGCCCTCCTAGTTTGATGATCTGGAGGAAAGTTTATCTTATAAAGAAGTTCTGTTCAAAAAGTTTCGTCAGCTTGTGAAAACCAGTTGCCCTACTGCTGAAAACATTAATGAAACCCCTATAAGTGACTGTTCAATACAGGTGGAAAACAATAGAAACAGGCCGTTAAGACTCAAAAAGGGTGAACATGATTGCTGGATAAAAGAGATAAAGTTACAGTCTTTAAGGGAAAAGAATTTCGTGACTTTATCAATTGATCCCTTAGTACAGGATGACCGCCAAATATGATGGTGACTGTGAACTTATGCTGTACTAGCCAAAATAGTGTCCTATATTCAAATTGTCAGTCCAGGGTTCCCCCACCCTCCCCCACCATGTGCAAATGCACTTAAGAGATCCACTTCTTAAAATATTTCTAACCATAGAATCCTCACTTTTTCTTCTGAGACCCTCAACATTAGGTTATGGGAATCCGAGGGAACCCTAAAAGAAAATTTTGAGAGAAAACCCTGTCAGTCAATACTGAATTATCCTATCAGTTAATTTTACATGAAAGAAAATTGCTTTAATTTGTTAAAGGACTGTGGGCTTCTACAACATACAAAATAATGATGTTTTGGAAACAACAAGCAATCCTTTTTGGGCTGCGACAATCTACTATAGACTGCGAGAGGTGGAAAAAGATCACAGTGGTGCATATTACACAGATGCAGACCTAAGGGCAAGTAGAGGATTGGAACAATCTTCCATCCAGAAGTACATGGCCTTAGGAATCCTTTTCAATGGAGGGAACAAGTAAGTCAGAAAGAATATATTTTTGTCAAAGAACTTCTTTTTGTTTTACTCCTTTTAAAAGGAGAACCTCACAGGAGAAAACAGAGCAATTAATTATGTAGCAAGTGACAAGTACATAAATTTTAGTTATAGCTTTTAATATGGAAGTTTTAATTATTATAGCAAACGGAATTGCTATGAAAGCCATTTTCATCACATCCTGTATATTTTCTTCAAGTCACTCAGGTGAATTGTCTCCATTTATCTTCCTGCAGCTATAAATTTGCATGAGGATACACTGATCAAAAATCATGTGATCGCTTACCTGAGAAACTTTGACCGTAATACAAGTCCTTTGTACCAGTACCAAAAGAAAACATAAGGGAAGGGTACAAAGATAGTGAATGCAGATGTTAGGGGTGTAAAGGTAAGTGGGGTGTGGGCAGGGGGAGCATGTCAAAGAGAAGAATATTACATGTACCTTCTGGATCTTAGATAATAAATTAACTAGAATACTGAAAATGACCCTATAATTAAGAAAGATGTTGTGTTTCTCCTTCAGTCGAACACAGCAGCAACCTCCATACTTTGCAGAGGTAGATCAGCTATTTGACCACCTTCAAACAGCTGGCAAAAAGCCAGTTCACATGTCACAACAAACCTTGGCCACACTAAAACAGCTGAAAGATGAGTATGAACAGAACGATATCCATGAAAAGGATTCCATTGGCCACTTTGTTCAAAGACAGGCTTTGAAATTAGGACTTATTTCAAGTAAGATACTAAATATACTGTGAAAGGTTTGAAGATTAATTTAAAATAAGTCATTGGGTGTGAAACATGGAATGATTTGTTGCTATTTTATCAGGCAAAAATATCAGTCTGCTTTTCACATTTCACCATTATTATTTTGCACAGTTTCATGGTATACATAGCTGGCTGAATTGAATTACGCTTGTATAGTGAGCATGGTATATTGCTAAGCAACAAGCCCCTTTTGAGGGGTCCAAGTCATTTTCTCTCCCCTCCTCCGGAAAAAAAAAAAATTGAAATTTGAGACTCGCAGAGAGGTGATTTCCTCCATTTTGGGGGGTGTTTGAATGAGAAACTTTCATTTGTAGCCAAGACATTGATGTTAGAATTTCAGAAAAAAATTAGTTTTCTGTCATTGATCACATTTTACAAAGCAGCTTACACTAAATAGTCTGACAGCCAGCAGGTTTCCACTGCCTACCTCCTTCTAACTACAGGTCCCTGATTAAAGGCATCCATATGAGACAGTGCCCTATGTGTGTGAAAGAAATATAAGAGACACCAACTAAGGTTAATTGATTTTCTCCAGAAAAGGTTCTGTAGCACTGCTTTCAAGTTAGTAAAAGTGTATTTTTGGTGTTGTCTTTACTAAAAGGGGAGTCACTTCAAAATGGTGAAGAGTGTAGTGGAAACAATTTATATGCAAATGGAAGGGATGTGGGTGCAGTTCAGAGGTAAGTAACACTAAAATTTTCTGTCTGTGTATGTGAAAGGGAGGGGATAAATTCTGTCTGTTTGTGTTATATTGCTTGTTTGAAATTCTGTCAGCATTTGCACATCATATCTCTTCATATGATCACAATAGAGGTGGCGGAAATAAGGCTAGCAAAGGAGGGAGAACAGTCAATGGGGCTGGAAAAGGGGCAAGAAAAGCTCCACAGAGGCAGCGAATGTGTGGAGACTGTGAAGAAAATGTGGCTACTCTGTTCTGTCCTGACTGTCAGCCATCCTTGGTGCTCTGTGATGACTGTGCAGTTGTACTTCACAGGGGAGTAACAAGAAGAAATCACCATTTGAAGGGTGAGTTTTCATTGCTCAGTCACAAATTTAATTTTTGGCGCACTAACCCTTCGGGCTAGTAGACATCTCTTTTACTAACCAAATTATAAAGTTTGGTATCCAAGCTCACAAGTTATGATATCTCAAATATTCAACATTTTGATAATAATGAGTAGGACAAATTAAAGAGTAGCTGAAATTGCATGGTGACCTTAAAAACATTGACAATTATGCACTTAGTTTGGTTTAGTTTATTGAGATTTGCCACTGAAAAATACAATTAACAAGTAAATATATGAACAGAGACACGCAATAAATAAACAAAAATATAATGGCAGGAGAAAAATACCGGGTGAGCCCCAATTGATATTTGTCCCCTTACAAAATACAAAGAAGAGAAAAATATGGGTTACATAAATTATGAACTTATGTAGTTTGTCTATAGAATAAAATAATTTGCCAACCGACTGCGACACTTATTTTATTTCCCTCTCATTTACCATGATTAGTCAGGAACAGTACATCTAAAGCACATTCTCTAAAAAGAGTTTAAGTTGATTTAACAACTTGAGTATTTTAAGTATTCCTCTGAGAGTCGGGTCTACGTGCTCTTTGTCCCAAGGTCTACCAATGTTTAAATATGTTAAAAAATCTTACTAACCATGTCGGGTTAGTTGGACACATTTTTAGTAACCAAACATTGAAAATTACTAACCATTGGTTAACAGGTTACCGTCAATTTCGAGCCCTGCTCAGTGTAGTGTGCCTTATACCATGCATAAAATATTGCAGGCTTAAAAATTGTCCAAGAAGGTCCAATTTACACCACCTGTTCTTTTTCAGAATGCCTGTTAGGTACAATCATTGCTTTTGTTTGCATTCGAGAGAATGCCATATTTTCATAAGAGTCCACAGCTTCAGGGCAGCTGTTTAATTCCAGTCCACTGCACATACCACTGTTGTCAAATGGTGTGTTCTTACTAGCCAAAGTTAAGGGTTTTACTGATTAGAGCAGTTTCTTGAGAATACTTGTGGCTGGTAATACTTGTATCATCTTTCTGTTTTATTAGATGTAGTAGAAGCACCAGCCCCAAGCAAAGGCTATACCCCTAAGGTAACTACTGTATCATTATTGTAAGCTTATTTAGAAAGCCATTTTAGCACTGCCTTATTATATAGCTTTGAAAAGGCTTGAAAACTGGGCTTGTGAGTCTTCCATTTATAATGTGATGGAGTACCGATATATCACTGCCTATTTCAAACAGTTAGTAAATGTCTTTCATTGGGATATAAGAAATGAGAACTATTTTAAATTTACACAAAAAAACTTAAAAAGTTGCATTTTCAAAACCCACTAAAATATATAGGGTGCTGAGTAGGCTGCACAAACTCTTGTAAATGAAGACTAATTGTTATAATAATAAAATTTAATTTTTGGCAGATATAAGACCAGTTAATAGTATTTTTATAACTGACAGATGTAACTGATAGAATGAATAATAAAGTTCTCTCCTACTCAGGATTAAAAATGCTTCATTTTCCAGGCCTACAGAGCACCATTTGCCATGTTGGTTGCATTTCACAGGTAAGTTATAATAATTTTAGCTGTTGAATCAGTTGTTAAAGATAGTGTAAATAATGTTTTGGTTCAGCAAAGTATGTAATGAGAATTTCTCATCATGCTGACAGGGCTGCCAATGAAGTTCACAGCAAAATGAGTTTGACTGAAGATGAGTTAAAATCTAGAGCCCAGCCTCTAACAAACACAGATTTGGAGATCAAACAAGGTAACTGAATGTTTTGTCCTAATAAATAATGTCACCTAAAGTGATCTTACCACTGACCAAACACTCTTTGATGTGTGAGAACTGTATTTTGATTCCAAACGAATCTTTACATTAAACAAAAATGGTGACTAAAACCAAAGCCAAAAAACAACAACAACACCATTAGGTCTCGAATTACGTCATTATCACATGATGTCAATCATAGGTACGTAAAGCGTACAAATTGAACTATAACAATGTAGTTATAGTCGCGACAAATAGAGACATTACTGAATAACCACAAGCAGTGAATTTCTCTCTGATTTTGTTATCTTTTGGAAAAAAGTTCCCATCAAGCCAGAATGAAGATCAACTTTATGCTTCACTTTCAGGAGGTGAAGTTAATGAATCATGCAATGTTGGGGCCTGCAGAGTTTAAATGTCTTTTTTTTTATTGAACTTGAAGAGAAGAAGCAGTTCTTGCTCATTGAAATAATTTGGATATATCAACAAAGTTGAAATGGTAAATTGGCCACCGTAACGATAACAAAAGCTGATGTTCCGAGCGTTAGCCCTTCGTTGGAGCAAAAGGGCTAACGCTCCGACTATTTTCACTCCGACAAAGGGCTAACGCTCGAAACATCAGCTTTTGTAATCATTACGGTGGCCAATTTACCATTTTGACTTTGTTGATATATCCAAATTATTTCGTTACTCCCACCGACGCAGCCCCAAACAGTTTCTTTCAAAACTATCAGCCTTTATTCTCCTGCTCAATGAGGTTGTTAAACTCTAGGAGAATGACTTAATAGTTTCTGTCTTACACACCAGAAATAATTATGATTTGAGAATAGCATGCAAGGGTTAAACCTAGATTCTTCAGTGCTAGAAAAAACAGGTGATAGAAATGTGCAAACTATGTGTAGTTTTCAAGAGCTGGGAAAACTTTACAGTTGCAATTGAAGAATTATCCATACTCTGGCACAAACCTTTGATAAAGATACATTTAGCCTCCATTGGCCTATAGAGGTCCCAAGATTTTTAAGACTTAAAAAGTCTAGAAAATTCCTTCAGTTTTTTGTACAGAAGTATACACAAACCCAATGTTCAGTAAAGTTTTGAAAAGGCCAGTTTTTTGTAACAAATGATGTTTGTTGGTGTGCAGAGGCAGTAACAAATAAAAAAAACAAAGACCTCATAAGCTTAGTGGCTCTAATTGTATACTTCTTTTTGATTTGCAGGTCGATGGTCGGGCTTTGACTCAATGGAGAGTGCCTTATTGAAGAATGAGCTGGTACAGAAAGAGGCTAGAACACCAAAGTAAATTAATCATTTCACTTTGTACTATGTTTTTAATTATGGTTTTTGTCACAGCCAGAGGGCCAAGTCAAGCGGCTACCTTTATCTATGCATGCATTTATTCTCCCATGTGCTTTCATTGTGTTAGCGTGGTGTTGTCATTGGTGAGGATAGCTTCTTAGTGTTCCCTACCTCCCTTCCCATTTTGATTTTTTTAAGGGGTTTTTGTGGGTTATACATTTGTTCACATATATATTTATCTATTTATTTATTTGTCTCCTTATTTTCTCTTCCACTAAGCCTTCCAGCTCTAGTGTGACAGGTGCTTGTTGGGGCTCAGCGCAGGGGGCTTGTGGCTGGGTTGTGGGTTGGGCAGGCCAGTCAGGTGTTCTTAAGTACTTTGGGTGCAACTGTGGTTGCAGTCCCCGGGCCCCTTGAGCACCTGACCTCCATTTGTGACTTGATTTTTGTCATGGCCTGATGGGTTCATCAGGATGCACTAAATTCTTGAGCTCAGTACTAAGCTTTTTCACCATCAATTGTGCAACTTCCCTCTTCAAATTTTTAGGTACTCTCTCATGGAAAAAGGCCAGCCTCTTGCTGCAAGGTGCTCTGAATTTGATTATGCTGTCCAGAATCTAAAACAAGCAGCTTCTATTCCAACCATACCAATTATGGCAGTGAGGTATTTGTCTTTTGATGATGTCTGATATAAGCAAAACTTTTCTGTTCTGTTGAGAGAAACCTTCATCACTGTTTCATTGAATACTTTATCAAAAGATAAGTTTGGAGCTGTTGCCTAAGTATGCAATGGCGTGGAGCTATGTACTAGGTAATTGTGGTAACCATGCAAGTACCAACCACCTGGCCTGGTCTCTGAACAAGGTGGTAGAAAATACACACCAATACCCTACTTACTTCCATTACGGTGGGGATTGTTGGGAGCAAGATCCAACAGCTACTGCTGGTGTAAATGGGAAATGGTCCAGAAAAATTGGCCCATGATGATTCATGAAAACAAGCAAAGCTCAATAATGCAAACACAAATTGGGTCAGCTCTTGAAGTCTTAGCTGCCGCATTGTATAATTCCTTCCTGCATTGGATGGAAGTCAAGTTAACTTTGCCCAAACTTAATTCAGACCCTCTGTTGAAAGTGACATTAGATTGATGTGGCAATTTAACAAAGGTTCTTTAAAGCAGGGCAACAATGGCAAAAAAGTCACATAAAGGCCTGCATGGTTAGTAAGATTTGTCAGTAGTGTTCAATTGTATCTTTATGTGAACTAGTAAATTAATTACAGTGTAGTATATAGTTTCCTATGTTTTGCAGGCCAGTTTTCAGAAGTCGCCAAGTATGCTTGTTAGTTGATAGTGAGGAACCTTCAAGGGAACGCTTTGTCAGAGTGGTGCAGCAGCATGGAATGTCAGCGAAGACCAGAAAACTACCTGTAGGTGATTTCCTTTGGGTCCTTCTACCCCCTGGAGTCAATCCTGATACAGTCAGAGACATGCCAGATCAGGAATTGGTATGTAGAAGTATGGCATACTTAATGCTAAAGATCTTCTATTTGGTTGATATTCATTTCTTTGTGTAAGAATATTTCAGATGACAAAAGATGACTCACTAACCTTGAACAAGACTAGTGTGCTACATATCCAGTCAAACTGAGCAAATTCTGGAAAGTCTGAAGCCCTGTTGGTTAATGGTTGCACTGAAATATCACTGTATGAGTTGCCAGCATTTTTCATCAGATTGCAATCATAACAGTCATTTGGTTATGGTTAGATGGAAGTTGTAGTATACTAGGACAGTGGTTGTACATGTGAAAGTATACATCTGGGAGAGTGTGAGTGCAGGAAGAGAGTGTTAAAACATGTACTCTGTGTACTATTGTCTTTCGCTTTCATGGCTGCCTTTTGTGGCTTACTTTTCATGGTAACACGACAGAAGATCAAGCTCGTAAACTTGATAGGACCCTTATAAGCTATCTGTTTGGCTATGATTGTAGGTTCCAAACGGACATTTCATGATTTTAACATGACACATCTCTAGTCGTTACCAGGCCGAGCGAGTGATCTTGTTCGGCCATGTGTATGATGAATTTTGTTCTGAAGATCGTGAATGTGAATCGTTTTTCATCCTATCGATTTCGACGAACATTTTCCAGTTATTTTGAGAAGGAACCCTTAGATTGTTTGTAAGTGTTCGACAATTCGATTTATTTGAGCTTTGTATACTTTCATTTTGCTTTATTTTGCTTCGCGTTTGCAAGTTTCGATGTGTAATTCTACTTTCAGAAACATATTTGTATGCCGTTTATTTGATGAACCTGGATTAAAAGACTCTAAAATTAACTGATCGATTCAGCGGCTACAATAATCGTGCAACTGGGATCCATTACTTTGTCTTTAAAAAAGGCTCTTCTCTTTTTCTGACTAAAAATCCTTACAACCTCAAGCTTTCCAGAGTCATATGATCATGGGCAAATGGAAATGGGAGGTTGATGATTGAAATCATTCTTGGTGTACATTCTTCATTAAACTCAGAGTTCTACCAATGTTAATCAGCTTTCTGAGTTTAAAAATGTAAACCCATCTGGGCATAAAGTGCTTATTGAAAGAAACATTTGTTTTGAGGTTCTACAGCCAAAGCAATTTACTTCATAGACACTTGCATAATTCTCTACAGGTTCTCCCCATGGTTGTAGAGAGGAAAACATGGGATGACTTGTGGTCCAGTCTTAAATCTACAAGATTTCTCAACCAAGTCAAAAGAATGAAGGTGACCTTAGAACAGAATAACTAATGTATTTCTCAGAATTTTAGGATCGATGCAAAAAAACAACATTAAAATTAAAGAGAGTTTTCTGTAATTTTAAAAGAAGAGTAGTTAGCAGTATAATCAGAAAGCTGTTTTCAGCTGTATTGCATTGTTATATAAAGAGTGTCGGGTTTAAGTGTAATTCTCTTTCAGAACTGTGGCTTAGAAAATCTGTTCTATCTTGTGGAGGGTAACCCTAAAGAACTGAAAGGAAATCCAGGCCCTGAAGTTGCACGTTTCTTGCAGGTACATAGTGCCAATAACCTGGGTTGAATGTATATAAAGCACAATGCACGATCATTCAGTGTGCCAGATTGGATAAATGTGACCTCTCATGTGAAAACATTCCTAACAGTAGCTGTTTGAACAGGGAACGGAATGGCAAGCGAACAGGTGACGAACAGCTAGGAAAGCTGTTCGAAATGGATACTGTGAACAGATGAACGGCTAATTAAAATTTTCGAATGGATGAGGTCAAACGGATGAACGGCTAGTGAAAAATTTGCGAACGGACAAGGTCGAACAGATGAACGGCTAATTAAGATTTTCGAATGGATGAGGTCGCATGGATGAACGGCTAATTAAAATTTTCAAACAGATGAGGTTGAATGGATGAACGACTAATGAAAATTATTGAATGAATGAACGGCTAATTTTTCGAACACTGAGATGAGCCTCACAGACGAGATCGGATGGGTAAACGGCTAAGCGGTCGAACAAGTGATCGCCTGTAGAAATTATTTGAACAGATGGTTTCGTCAAAATGGATACTGACACAGGCGTCCCAAGCTCTCGTCTTGAGCCAAAGCAAAGGATTATTTCATGAAAGCATCACGCCTTGGGTGACGCGGTGTTAAGTAACGTGAGGTATTTGACACAATCTGTGAAAAGATAACTTGAAATGAGTCGAAACTCGATTGTTTGAATAACTCGACTTCGTTTTCGGCGCATTCAAATGGATTATAATTAATATTTTTATTATTGAATTTGACCGATTAAGATAAGGTACAACCAAGGAACTTGCACGCAAAAAGCATAGTTCTCAACTTTAATTTGGGTTTAAATTTCCATAATCCCAGCTTCCCTGTCACTCCATCAAAAATGTGTTGCCTTGGTAACTGCTAACAACTTGTGTCAATTACTGCCATTTCACACAATCACAATTCAACGAGAGAAGATGTGGATTGCGATCACACCGAAAATGTTTCTACCATCATTGCCAAAGTGCCAAGTGAACGGCTGATGAATTTTCTCGAAAGGATAGCTCGAACCTTTCGAACGGATGATGAATATTCAAGAACGGATAGCTGGAGGCGTTCCAACGGATTATGAATATTCAAGAACTGATAGCTAGAGGTGTTCGAACGGATGATGAAGTTTCTGAAACGGATAGCTCGAATGTTTCGAACGGATGATGAATATTTCAGAACGGATAGCTTGAGGCATTCAAACGGCATGCCAATCCAGTCGAACTGCTGGTGAACGGCTATCCATTTAAGAACGGCTAACCGTTCGGAACGTTTTCTTGCGAGAGGTCACAAATTTTATATTTCCTTCATGTGGTCGATATTTTTGGGTGGTGATATGTTGTGTATGTCCCATAATCTCATTTGGAGGTAGGCCCCAGTCTTCTCCCTTAGTATTATGCCAAGTAAAATACATTTTGAAACCAGTAGAGCAATCCTTTTATCTCTTGAATTTTCAGGAATTCCAAGCTATTTTAGATGGTAATAAGAAATACTACAGGCAGTAATTTTTACTGGTTAAACTGCCCATACAAAATGAGATGTGTCTGCTTTACTTTGAAGAAGTTACCTAATGAAAAGCTTATGTTGCTTCTGTTGAGGGTTTTGAGAGTACACTTAACTTTACATGGCTAACTGTGGTAACATTATCATGATCACTGTTTCTGTTGAATTGTTCATATTTCTTTTGCAACAATGATTTTACCTTTAAGGATAAACTTGATAGTTTGGTATTAGAGGAGCAGTTTCTTGTGAATCGCACTGGCTCATGGATGAAAACTGTGGAATGGCTCTGCCATTTAACCAACTTGACAATAGAAGTTCTGCAGTCTGGTATGCAATACATCACTATGTCTTTTTCTTGAGGCAGGGTGGTTAAGTTTCATTCATATCAGATACAATGAAATATATGAAGTTCATATATTTTGAACTTTCATTCATATGTTGGTCAAGTGAATAAACTAGATGCTTTATAGTGATAAGATGTCTGTCAGTAATGATACGTAATTTTTGGAAAATGAGAGATTGTAGCCATTTTTAAGGCAAGAAATCAATATATACTATAATTTTTTTCTGAGAACCTTTTGTGAATCCCTTTTACAGAAGGAAGTCCCCAGTTGAAGACATACAGTGAATTCTCAAGAGGAAGAAAATCACAGAGAAACTTAGCTAACCTTGATGCAGTATCTGCCAATCCAGGTACATGCAGGTTTTCTCTGAAAGCTTATGAATATTCTTCACTACACAAGAAGGAGAATCAATTTGAGAAATATGCATACAGTCATGTAGAAGCATGAACCCTTTTAGTATTATTTCAAGATGTTTGAGAGGTATTTTGAAATTAAGTACAAAATGAGTGACTCAGAAAATTTTGTTCTCAGTTAGGAAGACATTTTTCCCGAAGAACTCCATTTTAAATTGCAGCAGTGCTTGTCCTTTGACTTCATAAAAGTTTATGATACCACCCTTTATAGTAAAACTTTGTAAAATACAGGTAATTTGCTAGGGAAGCCAGTCAGAGTAACTGCTGTGGGGTAACCTTAGGGTGGACTGTCAACTGATCCAGGGGGAAGTACTAATACTCCTGGTGGCTTTATGATAAATTGAGATAAGCTGCAGCTAGATGGGCCAATTGGCTCAATTACATGCTTTATCTACCTATAAATGTAGAATGAATTGATTGAAAGCAAAACATCAGGACTTTATTTTAAGGATCCAACACTACAACATCTGCAAATGGTGGAAGGGATGTTTTAATGAGGAGATTCATTTCTGCCTTCTTTTTGTCCTTAGTGGCTGCAACTGTCTGGTCAGCATCAGAGTTCACTGACATCATTAGAAGGTAGTAACTAAAATAGACTAAAGCAAATCTGTGGTAATTTTCAATTTGTTATGAAAGTTTAAGGCAGTCACTTGGTTATTGTGGTCTTTTCCTTGCCGGTTTATTGGTTCATTTTTTGTATTTTATGAAATAAATCAATATCATAATGAAAGAGTGCATTTTAAATGACTTTGTGAACCCTTTTCTCTCTAATTTGCATCACAAGCAACTAGCAATTTAAAAATGATAATGATTTGAGTTAAAATATGGAAGATGTGGTATAGTCATGATATAATTTAAAAGTGATGAGAAAACATTTTCAATTTACTTTCTTACAACTAGATTGACCTCAGCTGCTTAGTTTGCTAAAGTGTGTATCCTAGCTATGTTAATATCATTCTTTGGAAATTAATTTGAAATGCTATAAGTCACAAAAGTATGAAATTAATTCCAGCTTGGACTTTACTGGGACTGTAAATCCTATAGACATGTAACATTCCTGTATCTTCAAAAATTTTAATTAGTTTTGATTCATTTTCACATGTTATATTTAGCCATTGCCGTGGTGGGATGGAACTTCATAGTTTACCAGTCAGGGGTGGAAATGGTTTACAAGAAGAAAGATCTTTGATTGTGATTCAAGGCCTTACTCTTTATAACAAGGTAAGTCTTTTCAACCAATGCAATGAAATGTAAGGTATATGTTAACCAGCATCTGGGAGAAGAAAACAGAAAAGGGCTGTCAGCCATATGCCATGTACTTCATGAAAAAATTAATTTTTTTTATCAGTCTTTCTGTCAAAGTATATAAAATCAAGGTTGTGGATGATTCTAACAACCTTCTCTCTAACTAAGTAAGGACAAGATGAACAGGATGTAATTTGGTCAATAGTCATATTAATTTTAATGTTTTCTTATTAACTGACTCTTATTAACCTGTTGTGGATACGATATTTAGCAATGTCACAAGTTATTGGACAAAGCCCTGGCTGATCTTCTGAACAGCACGCATGAAACTGCAGAGGGTAATTCATTTGTTAGTCATCTTTTTATCAGTTGTTGAGTATGTTAGCATTATTTTAATACTTAGAGAATTGGAATTTTCAATTACCATTTTGCTCCCTCAGCTTGTGTTCAAAAACATCTTCAAGGTGTCACTGACCAGCTTGTTCATGAAGATGTTCCACAGTGGTACATTCTTTGGTTACAGGTTAGCATTCTCTAAAAATAACAAACAGTATTGAAAATAGGTTATTGACCCCTTCAATCATAGGAGTGATCAAGAAGTAGTTTCACGGAGCAATGTTTTACACACCATTGGCAAACAGGTGATTAGAACAAATATCAAAAAAGAAAATTTTTTTGGATTTTGACACCAAATTCTCAGAACTAATGTTATAAGAAATGTATGCAAGACAGTAAGGAGAAGTACTATTCATATCTTGGGATTGAAAGGGATACAAGATTTGTCGTAAGCACAGGTGAAGCTCCTGTAAGTGGGCTGGTAAGGTAGATCTCCATTGTTAGGGCACACATTGTACTTGCTTTAGCACAAAGAAAAAACGTATAAAATTACAAACAGTCCATGGATATCTTGAATGTTGAAAGCTGGAACTGATGGTAATGCGTCCAACAGGAAATAAGTAAAATTTTGCTTTTTATTCAAATTCCCTTAGTCCTAAATCAGGTGGAAGGTAAATTTGCTTTACTGTGCATGTAGGTTTCTAAAGGAGCAATGGTGCGAAGAACCGAGACAGCAGAAGAAACAGCAGAAATTTTGAGCAAGTTTTACCAAATGTCAGGAGGTAGGACAAATTGTTAAAAATTAGAAATGTCAGTGGTACAATATTACTGTGACTTGGTAGTAGATAAGTAGTTTTTCTTTGCTGCTGTATCGTGATCATTATCACCCTGTTTCCTGAAACGAGCCTTCAGGTAAGCTGGGATTTTATTTGAGAGCAAATCTTTGTTTCTTTTATAATTTATGATTGTTTGAACTAAGATCAAGACCTGAGAAAGGTTAAGAATAGAATGGTGATGCAAATGGCCAGAGGGTTTAATTGTGTCATTCATGTCAGGTGTCATAGATGTGCCCCTGCCTACTCTTAGTGATGGCAAGATTGGTGATGGCAAGATTGGCGATGGCAAGATTGGTGATAGCAAGATTGGTGATGGCACTCAGTTTGGGATCCAACCAGAGGAGAGGTACAAAGTTAAGCAATAAATTAATCAATACTTTGACAACATAACAGAAGCACTATAACAGCTAGTTAGTGAAACAGTAGCTTCGCAAGGGAACCACCACAACTTGCTATAGTAGTTATAATGAAGAGAAATGCACCAGTGACCACTTCTAAAACTGCTTGAAAAAAGCTGCCATGCCTCATACAACACAACATGAATAGCATGACACAAAAATTGTTGTTCAACCACATCACCTGCTACAAGTACAAGGACCAAAGGTATGGAACTCTCTTGGGCAAGATATAAAGTCAACCACTTTCAGTAAATTAAAAAAAAAAATTAAAAATGAATTACTATGCCAATATTAATGTCACCCTGGCTTTTTGCATTTACCAGAGTAATCAGTTTCTTCCTCTCTATTACTGTGATTTATTTGTTGCTCTACGCTTTTTCCTTTATTATAATTGTCTAGGATTTCATTTCTAATATATACATATATTTCCTTTACATATATATATATTTCTTTTTTTTTTCCATGACTTGTAAATTTCGTTTATTGATAATTATTTTTAGTTTAATTCTGTGTGGGTGTGTCCCGACCTAAACATTGTAATTCATTCTAGTGAAATTTGGCTTCCTAGCCTCGTTAACCTTCTGGTTATTTTAGGAAGCCAACACCCTCTTAATTTTAAATTTTATTTGATGTTAATTTAACCTTCCCAAGAGTAAGGGTGAATAAAGTTGTTGTTGTTGTTGTTGTTGTTGTTGTTGTTTTGTTGTTTTGTTGTTGTTGTTGTCGTTACTGTACAGCAGACCAGAGCTTGACATTAACTTTTCAACTTACTAGCCAAGTGGCTAGTGACAACTTAGATGTTACAACAATTTTTTTTTGTTTACTAGTGTAACTTAGCTGAAATAAAAAACCACTAGCCAAAACTGAATTTCTACTAGTCTGTGGCTAGTTGGCTACCGTAAGTGTTGAGCCCTGGCAGACAAAAAATCTCAAATTTCATTAATTTAAGTTAATTAACAGTAAATATTTATATCGGTCTAACCATGATGAACAAAACATCTATTGTTTCTGCAATGTACATATGTGTCATAGCTTCCAAATAGGCTCTAAAATCTTAACAAGGGTTAACTGATGTCAAGTACAGTTGAAGCTCTCAATAGGATTTGTTTTGGCAGTGCTAAGACTACAGGACTGAAACATACATGTATACATGAATGTATATTAATTCACTTATTTAAGGAACATTGATGCACAGTAATGTATTCGGAGAACTTTTTTTAACAGCCTGGTAAGATTTGTTTCTTTATGGTTATCCATCATAAAAGGGACAAAACTTGCAACAGTTCTTTTCCATTGCTCTTACAATGCTTACAATAGTTTGCTATTTAAAACTTGTTTAAAATTTTTGTTTCATTGTTAGACTACCAGGGGATGAACTTGTGTTTGCTAGTGATTCACAAGAGGAAGATGCAATGATTCAACAGGTTTGACAGAGTTGTTTGCCTTAAAGTTTTTATTTATTCCTTCTCTCTTTGTGCTTTAATTTGTGATTCACATGCGGGAAAGAGAAAGAAAACTGTTAATCACTGTGTCACATGTGCTCATATCACACTCCTACTGTTTTGACCAGCCTGTCATTGTTCTTAGCCTTTTTTATTTCTTGTTAGATTTTTTGTTAATCAGCCTTAGTTTTCTTTGTAGGCTTTGCAAGCATCACAATATCAAGCCAAGGTTGTTGAGGTGTGTAACATTTATGTTTTTTATTTAGGTTGCTATAGACAGTATGTTGTTATCAGGAACAAGTACGATTCAACCTAGATGTCCTTGACTTAATCCCACTAAAGGCCTATACTTTTCTTGTTCTTTCTTGATACCAATTGATACACACTGGGACATAATTATGTAATATGTTATGATTTACAGACTAAGATTAATTTTAATTTCCCAAATTCACTCTTTTCATGCAATACGATGTCTTGAATTCTTTTCCAGGTCAGGCCACGAGCAGTTCAGCCATTCATTCCTTCCAGCTCAGATTGTGAACTTCAGAAATATTCCTTAGAATCTATTAATGAAAGAGAACAGCTGGTGCTGGCTATGAATCTCAGCAAAGTAGAATATGATTCTGAAAGATCTTACAAAGACATCAATCCTAACCAATCTGGTAAAATGACTGCAAGAAGTTTCACAGCAGATAAGCATATTCACAGCAACCCAAAAACTAAAGTGGATGTCTTCAAGCCAAAATGTACTACAGTTTTTGGTGGTAACACAAAGGCTAGCACTGCACATGATGAGCTTGAGAAAGTACTTAAACAAAGTCTGGAAGAGTTTGAAAACCTGAAGAAAATTCAGGAAGAAAAGAGGAAGATGTCAGATGCTAACAGGGACTTGCAGAAAGCTTTGGAACTGAGCAGATTGGAGTATACTCAGTTACAGTGCAGTGTCACATGTGACGAACTGATAGAAAGGCAAGTACATAATGGCAGCTGTTTGTCAAACAAAGATAGAGAGCTAGAAAGAGCATTGGATTTAAGTAAGCTGGAGGCTCAAACTGCCAAAAAGGATCATTGTACTGGCATGGTAGAAAAAGCCTGCAGTAGAGGGGAAAAACAATCAAGGGAACGTGAAGGAATTAACTTTGTGGAAAGTGACCTCCAAAAAGCCTTAGAACTAAGCAAAGGGGAGTATGAACAAGGAAAAACAAAAGCATCCATGAATTTGAATGCTGGAGGTAAATCAATGGAGACATCCACTTTGGAAGGCAAAGAACCAGGGAGCAATTCTTTGTCCAGCAACGAGGGTGACTTAGCCAAAGCCATACAAATAAGCAGAAATGATTGTGACAAAGTTGTAGAACATAATGGTGATGGAGTGTTAGACAAGGAAGAGCAGTACAACCGAGGCAAGGGTACAATGGTCTCTTTACAAGTAGAAGAGAATGCAGCAAAGGTATTGATACAAAGTTTTGATGGTAGCAGAGGACATTCCAGTGGCAGTGATCTTCACAGGGTCTTAGAGTTGAGTAGAGGTGAATATCCAAAAACTACTCGGGATGAGAAAGATAAACACACTGATGCTGATGTAGTGTTACAAGGATCAAATGCTGCATTGGTGCAGTCTAGGGAAAGACACGAGCTTGATCAAAATGCAAAGTATTCAACACCAGTTCAGGGGTGTGTTGCTAATGGTGATGTTGTTCCTTCTAGGGTACCCTTAGAATTAGATCAAGATCATGATTACCCTTGTACCTTTCCTGCACTGGGACATTCCACGCCAGCAGGTAGTGCAAAGTGTTCTGCAATCTTGCTGGATTCTCAGGAATTAGGTGACGAGCGTGAGAGTATGGATGCATCAGAACTTCAGATTGAAGAGGTAGCAGAGGATATTCCAGCAAACAAGAAACAGTTATGTCCTGCAGAAGGCAGAAGTGTTGATGATGACTATTCATATGCATTAAAACTCCAAAAGGAGCTCAATAGTTATGAACAAAGCTTTGATGGCCCTGTCAGGAGAAACAAGACTTCAGCAGCTGCTGCTGAGGTCCAAGATCAACTCAAGCTCTATCGAGAGTCACAGAAAGAGAAATATGGGACACGCGCTGGGAAGGGAGATAAATCCTCTCGTGGAATTGATTTCAGGAGAAATGTGGCTGCGATTGCCTGTGGTAAACCAGTGCAAATTGGTGTTGCTAATCCCATAAGTAGATCAGAACTTTCTCAGCGGAAGCAGGATCCACCTAGAGACCATAGGGACATGTCCTCACCTAAAAAACGGATCGAGAGAGAAGGAAAAAAATTACACTATTCACCCAAGAAACTAGGCTTTCACAGAGAGGATGTGTTTGTCATCAGGTGAGAAGAGAGATCATAAGGGAGCATAGTGATCCCGTAATTTTTCTCTGTTTGTTTGTTTCCCACCCATTTCCTACAGTTTGAAAGTATTGAAAAGTATCCATAAGAGAAAAGTATCCTTCAATAGGTAGTGGGTGTTGGTAATGATTTAATTTCATAGTTTCTACCCAAGCCCATTCTTCAATTTGGTGAAACAAGCGCAGTATATGTATTTGCGTTGACGTTTCAGGGATGAGGATGATGATGACATAGAACCTAAACCAGGTGGTTTTCCATTTTCTTCAAGGCCGTCCTCGTCAGGTTCAAGGTAGAGTTGGTCCTGTTCTGCACGTAAAGCCAGTTAAAAGAACAAATTGAAAAAAAAAACTTGCATTTAATCGTTTAAAAAGCCTTGATGCAGAAATATTTTAGTGTTGACATTAGAAAGAGTAATACAATCATGTGTGATCTGAACAGAGCAGGCGGCTGAATTGAATTAAGCCTGCACAGGAAGCATGGCGTCTTGCAATACGGTTCCAGGACCAAGCTCCTTGGAAAACTTTGAAATTTTGAAAGTCGTGTTTTGAGACTTATTTGAGTAACTTTATTTAACCAGTGAAGTTGTAATTAGTTCAGAGATACTTACAAGTTTTCTGTCTTTGATCACCACCCACAATATAGCCAGCGCAAAATGGCCTGAAAACTGGCGTGTTTCTATCACTTACCAGCTTCTGGTGACAACCCTACCTTTGAAATGTTTCGTGACTTCTCCTAAAACCTTCAAATCTTGCCAGAATGCGAATTCTTGATTTTTTTCTTGATACATGTACGTTTGCTTATAACCCAAAGTTTTTGTATTGGCTAACAAAACCGTATTGGTTAGAATGACTTTGTTACTATCATTCAGAGTAATTGATATTTCTGGTCTTTTTTTTTTTCTTTTTTTTTTGCAGCACTTTTGAGAGAGTTCATCCACGTCCTCCCTCTTTTTCAGGTGCTATGGTGGGTGGAATTAAAGCTTGTTCCATTGTCACTGATGTGTGAAAAAAAACAACGACAACAGCCAAAAACAAAGACAAAAATAAACAACAACAACGAAAAAACTAAAACAAGCAAAACAAGAAACATCATCTTTAGTGACAGCACCAAATTTTTTCCTCACCACATTTGAAGTCATCTGTGATCTTTTACTTAACAGAAGTACGGCAAGATGGAATCTTTTCGTCAATTTTAACTAAATTTTATTCTTTTTTTATTTTTTCAGCCTTCCCCTTCCCACCCCTTCCATCGTTCACCATGTGAGCCAAAAGATTCATCTACTAATCATGTTTCAAGCAGCAGTGACAAGCCGATGGGACCAAAGTGTAGCTCGTGTGGAACAGTTGGACATAACAAGAATTCAAAAGTATGCCCTAACTACTTTTCAGCAGAAGCTGTTCAGAGAAGAGAGGTATAGTACACTCAGCTGATTTAAGGGTGATTAACAGTCTCAGTAGGGCAGTTCCAAACATTTAGATGTTGTTCGATTTTGTTTGTATGTCTGAAAGCTAGGGTGTGCAATATCTATATCTAGTATAGGCTGAAAAGGTCAAAAGGTCGATCCTCAAGCACTTCCTGACATTGATTTGTCAAACATGAGCGCATGTTTGATCAGTTTGTGGCCTCGGGTTAGACTGTGACTAATAAGAATCCAATTGTTAATTCTCCCCTCTTGTTGCTACAAATTTATTCGTAAATTAGTTATAAGAATTCGGTAATAGATCAGGATAACAAAATTCTACCCGGTAAGCTTGAGTAATCTCATTATCTGTTTGTAGGATAATGTATCGATATTACTGGGGGAAGCTACTCGTTAATCTCTTCCGGGTGTTTCTTGGTTAAGGTTTTCTTTTAGCCCGATAAGGAGACTGTTTGATTCCATATCTTCTCAGGAACAGTCAAGGAAGAGGAAAGCAAAGAGAGAGGAAGAAGAGAGAGAGTTTAATGATCGCCTGGGTGCATTGGTATGTCGGGTTATGCTAAGTCGCAAACTGTTTTGAACTTGAGTTGATTTCACACAGAATGAGATTTACACTGTGAGGTACTATCGTTCGTGTCTCTGTGTGGACAGAGGATGTATTTTCATAGTCGTTCGCTTTAATTCTTTGAAATGTGTCGGTCAGTTAGAATAAATCTCAGTAAGCATAAAATGAAAACGTCGTCCATGGAAAATGCTTGAACGATTTTTATTCACTGTTTGCGATGCGTAAAAAAAACTCATTCGTTCGCTGCGCGTACTCTTTCGTTTTTCGATTCCTTTGCAACTCGTGAATAAAAATCGTTCGTGCGCGCTTTCCATGGAATAATCTCTCTATACGGATAACTAAACAAAGCTTATAAGCCAAAAAGTCCTTCCTGTTGGAGTTTCTTCGGGTTCCAGGAGCATGGGGCAACTAGAAGGCCGGTATATACGATTGCTCTTCCTCTCTGGACCCCGAAATACTGGGTTACGTCTCAGCATTTGCTTAAAGATTTTGGGCAGTTTGACTGTGCCCATTGCCTCGTCCAAAACAACTGAGTGACACGGCCAAGGCTCAGTGTTTACTTCCAGTTTCAATCTCTGACTTCCAACGTCAAACCGTTCATATGTGACACTTGTCCAGCTTACTGCCAGGATCATCAATGTCAAAATCGTCATGTGCGTTAATAAAAAGAGAAAGATGTTTTTATGTTTCACGACTGTAGGACAAGGAAAAATTGAGGTTGTTTGTTCACCATAAGATGACCTTGAAATAGAAATCATAGGTCTATCTTGCTAGACGTTTTGGTGGGTATTGTCGCTGAGTATTTGTACGAGTTTTACCGTATTTTCACCTACCCGTAGGGCGAGTCATAGTACAAACAACTACACACCGAAACGTTTAGTAAGTTACTTATTATCCAACTTCTTTATTTAATATACATTTCTGAAAAGGAGGGAAAAGCGAAGCAGTTAGAGAAGTTAGAGAAGAAGCGTAACACGCGCAGCAGACTGGTTAAACAGGTTTTTTTTTTAGAGTACAAAATAACCAACCGCTCAAATATCGTGTACTCGATTCACACGTTGTACTCTACTTAATGCAGTGGGATAGTAAATGTAACAATAATCAGTTTTCACAACCGGGCTGTTCTTGATTTATATAATTTTTTGTTGGATTTTTTCCTCTTCAGGCTGCTCAAAGATTGGCAATAGAGGATCGATCCAGAACATTGGGTGAACAACTGGATGAACTTAGAAGACAGTCGCAAAACATGGCTAACACCCAGAAGATGGTTGAAGATGCGATAAAAAGAAGAAGAAAGCGATAGTAAAGAAACAAAAAGACATGGATAAACTAAGTCATAACAAACTTTCGCACAGTGCTATAGAGCTTTTACTTCCTGAGTGGTATAATTGTATTTTGAGAGGTTTATTAGTGACCGAGTGCTACACCACTCAAGAAAATAGCTTTTTCATGTAATAGTTCATTTGTTTAATTTAGTGAGATATCGTTTTGTTGGTGATATTTTAATATGATCGTACAGCGCTAAAGAGCTTCTATTTCCAGAATATTTTAATTGTATTAATGGTTTTTGTGGGAGGTTTATAGGCGACCCTATGCCACACCACAAAATGAAATAATTTTTCATTTGTTAAATGTAGTGGGACATTGTTTTGTAACATTTTAATTGATTGTACATAATGTAAGACCATTAATTCAGAATTGAGAAAAAAAAGTTCGTCTTTTATTTTGGGATATTTTATTGGTTTATATAAGTGTAATGGTTTTTACCTACAAATAGAATAAAAAGTTGAAGATTTAAAACCATTTTTAGATGAATATTGAAATATTTTAAAGCCTTGCATAGCATACACATGTATGAAGATGAAAAAGGCGGGCAATTACAGTGTACAGTAGAAAAAATCGGTTACTTTAATAACATTGATGAAAATTACTTGTGAATTTCTCATTTAAAAGCTTCATGCATATATCTATGGAAGGTAAAGGAGGCTAAATTCCTTCAAAAGTAAAATTTAAAAGAAAAACTGTTGAAAATGAGATACAATGAAATATATGAAGTTCATATATTTTGAACTGCGGTATTAGATACATATGATGCACGATCCTCGCAGTAGATAGCGCTATTTAAGCAATAGCGAAAATCAGGACTGCCTTTAAAAGCACACACAACCCACACAAATTACATCAATTTGATTGTTGACCTTTGTACAAATGTTTTTATCATAGCTGTTGATCTACAGATTTTTGTCAATGTTCGCTCCTGAGAGGTCAATGTTATCTTTTACCGGAATATTGGGGGTCATTCACTGTAAAACTGAAGGTGTAGTTTGTATTCCTGCGTTGTATTTGTCAGGATTTGTAATCATGCAATTGACATTTATACCAAACCCGGTTTCGAAGAGTTGGCATTGAAGTTTCATTTGTAACTTCACTGGATCTTTATCAGAGGCATAAATTTGCTCATCATCAGCATAAGCATTGATACAGACTCCTTTCAAGAGGTAAAAGAAATCATTCATGAATACATTGAAGAAAAGGGGTCCAAGGGACGGATCCCTGAGGTTCTCCTTCTATAACCGGCAGCCAAGAAGAAAACTTGTCGCCTACTTTTACTCTCTGCGATCTTCCAGATAACAACTTCGCAACAGAGCAACGCCATGTTCAGCGAACCCGTAAGCCTTCAACTTAGCTCGCAGAAACTCGTGTGGTACACAATCAAAGGCCTTGGAAAGGTCTAAAGATATCACAGCAACGAGTTCTTTATTATCTAAGCCAGCCCTCCAATCTTCTGTTAGACGCAGCAGTGTGGTCTCACAGCTATAATTCTTGCGCTATGCAGAAATGAAGTCAGACAATATGTCTTTGAAATATACCGATAATTGGTCAGACAAGACTCTCTCATAGATGTTATTTGAAATTGGTAGTACCATCAGCGGTCGATAATTCTTCTGCTAGAGCTCATCATCTTCTTTAAATAGCGGTGTTACTTGGTCCATTTTCCACCTAACACGAAATGATTGAGGAATTAATTATTTTTGACACTGGAAGCGCTGTAATCGGAGCAGATAATTTGAGTCAGCTTCGGATGTAGCATATCATGACCACAGGATTTGCGACTGTTTGTAGAACATAATAGATTATCCACTTGGGGTGAATTCACAAGGTCAAAGCTGAAGGCTTCCCTTTCCACCTTATTGTGCATTATTGCTCTGATACTTGCATGTTCAATGAAATCTGTACCATAATCCATTTCCGTGATCTCACGCTCATTGGTAACTTCCAAGATGTTTACAAAGTAATCATGAAAAAGCTCAGCAAGAACTTTTTTGTCATTATGAAGTTACCATCTTCTTTAAGTAATATGTCGTTTGCTTGGCCAGAGCTCCTGGAGTGCAGGAATGGACGATACATTTTCCAAAAGTTAGCTGGGTTTTGGGATCATTCAGCTTTGTTGTGAAAATATTTCTTTACTGCTTTGCGTCGAAGTGATGTGCATAAATTCCTTTGCGCTTTGTAAATATCATAATTTGCGTCGGTCCGCTCTTTTGCAAAACGTCTCCAGAGACTATTTCTTTTCCGTATGGCTGAACGGCATTGATTGTTCATATATGGTACATGATTACATGATTTCCACGTACGTGTGCCTATTTCAGTGGCGAATGCTCATCAAGAATGTCATTGTAAAGTGCTTCAAAAACATACGACAACATGTCATCTGGATCATCGAAAATGTCCATAATATGAAAAGGAGCGGCACTGAGACCTCCATAAATTTATCTCGATCAAAATTTTTAAGACTACGCAATGCGACTTTTCTTGACCTTAGTCGCGTTGATGTAACTCGCATAATAGTGTAAACCAGCCAGTGATCGCTGATTTGTGTATCTACGACACCAGTTTGAAGAAATCTTCTTTTGCTGTTAGTCAGTATCAAATCGATAAGCGTTTCCATAGATTTTGTTACTCGTGTGGATTGCGCAACCAAGTTTTTAAGATGATGAACATCCAGTAAGTCCATGAGACGTATGGTGGAAAGGCGAAATATCCTACTACGCGGAATGCCTTGTTGCAGAAGACAAAAGTCTCACAAAAGAAATAGGAAAAGAATTTGAAATTAACAGGCAAAATTAAAAGGAGCATAGTTTAATAATTATTGGAGCTTATTAGAGGATTGATTCATAGAGGAACAGTGAGTTTCTCAATCTGTGGGATGCGGCAGGTTTCCTGTTTCGAGACAAATCTTCTGCATGCAACACTACCTTCTAGCATCATGATATAAAAATTATGCTGTATCCGTAGCTACATGCAGTCTTAAACTGCCTATTTTTCAGTTCTTGCTGTGACAAAGGATGATAAAATAAATTTCACAGTGGTATCTCCGGCGCGTAGTTGAAACCAAGACTTTTCCTTTTGATCCGCGCATTGCGAAAACTCCTGAAGGAAAATTTTATGTGAGATTTGGAGCTTGCGGACAAGGAGTAACACGAGTCAAACTGGTCTGGGGGCCGAATAACTCCTCTCCGTGAAGTTCGCATTTTGTCTTTGCTGTCTTTTTTACTTTTTCCCATATTATCGTCATTTTTTATTTTCTTATTTCCTTTTTTTGCACCGATGCACGTCTGCACCAAGATGTTTAAAGATTGACTTGGATAAAAGGTACTGTGCATAATATCTAAGGGACTAGGGTGTAGGAAAAATCTGGTGTAACATTTGTAACCGTTGTATAAATACGTTATTTATCGAGCGGGAGGTTCGTATTGGAAAAACATGTGCTCGAAGTCTTGAGTTGAGCACAGTTTTAATTTTTTGCATACGGACCAACTCAGACCCAAAGACAGTAGACTACACTTAAAGACCGGTCATTTATTAGAGGGGGGTGGGCTGGTGCATTTTAGTTTTCCTTTACATAATTTCCCGTGGGCCTGTTCTTGCTACTGCATAACATAATGTGGCCCCCTTTCGAGTGTGTACATGAAATAAGATGGCCCGCCCTCAACCAAAGAAACAGTTTTAATACAACTTAAATAAAGCTCACCGAACTTGTATTTAAAGCAAATAGCGAAAATGAGAGAAAGGCACACTGAGAAGAGAAAAGCTAGACGAGAAGAAGAGAATTCTGGTTTAATCTCCAAACTACTGTCTGATGGTGAGATTCCAGTTAAGGAAGTCAGTGTGGCTGCTCTAATATCCTTAAGTGGGACGCAAGTTTACTGGCTAAAGCAAATGATGGAAAGAGGGCTTATAAGTCATCAAGCTTGTACACTAATTAAAGAGTACTTGCCCTTTATCAGCTCTTCAAACGGTGAATCAGAGCTAGGAAAACAAGCGCGCAAAGGCCTCTGGGTGTGCTGGCCGTTTCAAGGGGGGCTGAAAAAAGTCAGTTTTCCGGGGCCTGGTACAAAATACAGCTTACAGGCGGGCATTTTCAACTTGTTCGGCTCACAAGCTTTGCAATGGTCTGTCTTGAAGCCATATTGGTGGTAGTAGCGGCGAACAATTAGAGGATGATTGGAGGAGAAAATATCGAACTTGACGTTCCTAAAGAGTCCCCACGGTGAGTTTTTCCTTTGCAGTTTTCTTTGTTTGTCGAAGTTCATTTGAAAATCGAAAACCATACGATTTTAGTTTGACATCTCGATTTGTCTGTATATTTATTCCCGCGCTTTGTCCTCGTTTAACTGAGAAAAACCAATGCTCTTTTAGGGCACATTTAAAGAAACGCTTCTCATTGGGACTGTACAGTCACCTTAGAAAGGAGCGAATGCGTAACGAATTGCAAAAGAAATTGGATGGTGATGAGAAGATTAAAGCAATGGAGGCTCAACTTCACCGTACAGAAGAGCGAATTCGTCATAAGAAACGGAAGGTAGTGAGCTTAATTACTGAGGTAGCTAGATGTATGTTTAAAATCCAGCTAGTGTCAGGATTTAATGCATGGAAACTAAGTAGTAAGTTATATTTATTTAGTACTCACTGGCCTCACTTTCTTTCTCATTTATCTACTTCTAATTAATTAATCATGTACTCTATATATGCATAAACACAGTATAACTGTATTGAATTAAATTTACTTTCCAATTTTACCATTTATTTTATTTGTAGGTCTTATTTAATGCTATATAATAAAAATGTTATGGGTGAGAGAAGAAAGCCCTAAGTGATTTCTGATAAACTGTGTAATTCTCCTTTCAAGTTGCCCTTGGTACAGTGCATTTCCATGTGAACAAAAGGAGAATTTTACATTACATCAAAAGTCAGTTAAAGCTTTTATTCCATGCACCCCTTTTTTAAATTTATTATCCTACAGATTGATGAGGTGACAGATCAGAGTGAATGTGAAATAGTGGAAAACAAAAAAGCAAACCTCCCTTACACAACAAGTGAGCTTCATTTGCTGTCAAGTTAGAAACTAAATCATTTGAGGGCACAGGCTATGCAAAGGAGAAGAAAAACTCTTGAATTACTGAGGCCAATTCATTGTGGGAGAAAGAAAATATCAAACCAGCCTGACAAACCTATCATGGGTGGTATGTGGACTACACTGATAAACACTGCCCCCAAACAATGCATGAAAGAATACATTACCAAGTAAAAAACCTGTACAGATTTTATAATACCACAAATTGTACAGACCAACATCCACGAGTACGAGAACAGTTTGCAAAATAAAGTGTGAAGCATGCGTGTTCTGTATGAAGGTGGGCTTCTAAGCAGAAAAAAGTACACCAGTATTCGGAACACCACAGATGTAGTAAAGGAAAGTGGAAAAAATTGTAAAAACAAGAAAACTGAATTTATGAAAAATTGTGAAATTCCCAAGATTGTGTCTTACAAGGCCTTGACAAGTTTTATTCAAAGCATTGATGCTGGTGAGATGATTGATTTGGAGACATGGGCTGCCAGATTTAATGTTGATGCATTTCCTGGAGTGTACAGGCCTCTGAAGCCATTTCTCTTACACCTGGCTGACCTGTATCTGTTTCTTGATGAGAGAGTACCTTGCCAACATTGGTTTAACGGGGAAAAGAATGTTTTGTACATTGCTATTGGGGCAGATGGGGCTCCTTTCGGAA